CCAGCTGCATCAGAACAAGGACAGACCTCCCCCTGAAGATCAGTAAGGTGCAGCATCATTTTTCCCCAGAGGCAAAGATTAATATGGAGCTAAGCTTTCTTTCCTCCCCAACCACATCAACACCTTTTATGGACCCCTGCTAAAAAAAGGGGGGCAAAATTACAGCAGAAAGATCATTTAACACACCTGCATCTTCCCTCCCAATACTATCAGCTGTATGCTTCTCTTTGTCAGAATAGCAAGAGCCAGGAATAAGGTCTCTTTCAACCAAAAAAAGTAAGTCAGTCTCACCTCTGTGCCTGGCAAAGTCTTGGAGCAGATTCTCCTGGAAGGCATGCTAAGGCACATGAAAAACAACAAGGTGCTTGGTGACAGCCAGCATGGCTTCACTAAGGGAAAATCCTGCCTGACCAATCTGGGGCCTTCTATGATGGGGCTACAGAACTGATGGACAGGAGTAGAGCAGTTGGTGTCATCTACCTGGACTTGTGCAAAACATTCGACTCTGGACACTGTCCCACACAACACAGAATAATAAAATCATAGAATAGTTAGGGTTGGAAAGGACCTTAAAATCATCTAGTTCCAGCCCCCCTGCCATGGGCAGGGACACCTCGCTCTAAACCATATCACCCAAGGCTCTGTCCAACCTGGCCTTGAACACCGCCACGAAGGGAGCATTCACAACTTCCCTGGGCAACTCATTCCAGTGCCTCACCACTCTTACAGTAACAAACTTCTTCCTTATATCCAGTCTAAACTTCCCCTGTTTAAGTTTTAACCCATTACCCCTTGTCCTATCACTACAGTCCCTAATGAAGAGTCCATCCCTAGCATCCCTATAGCCCCCCTTCAGATACTGGAAGGCTGCTATGAGGTCTCCACGCAGCCTTCTCCAGACTGAACAGCCCCAACTTTCTCAGCCTGTCTTCATATGGGAGGTGCTCCAGTGCCCTGATCATTCTCGTGGCCCTCCTCTGGGCTTGTTCCAACAGATCCATGTCCTTTTTATGTTGAGGACACCAGAACTGCACACAATACTCCAGGTGAGGTCTCACAAGAGCAGAATAAAGGGGCAGGATCACCTCCTTCGACTTTCTGGTCACGCTCCTTTTGATGCAGCCCAGGATACGGTTGGCTTTCTGGGCTGCAAGCGCACACTGAAGCCGGCTCATGTTCATTTTCTCATCGACCAGCACCCCTAAGTCCTTCTCCACAGGGCTGCTCTGAATCTCTTCTATGCCCAGCCTGTAGCTGTGCCTGGGATTGCTCTAAACTGGAGAGGCATCAATTTGACAGATGGACCACTCAGTGGATAAAGAACTGGCTGGATGGCCGCACACAAAGAGTTGTGGTCAATGGCTCAATGTCCAGCTGGAGACCAGTAACGAGTGGTGTTCCTCAGGGATCGGTGTTGGGACCGGTCTTGTTCAACATCTTCGTCGCTGACATGGACAGTGGGATTGAGTGTGCCCTCAGCGAGTTTGCTGATGACACCAAGCTGTGTGGTTCGGTTGATACGCTGGAGGGAAGCAATGCCATCCAGAGGGACCTTGACACGCTTGTGAGGTGGACTGATGCCAACCTCATGAAGTTCAACCATGCCAAGTGCAAGGTCCTACACCTGGGTCAGAGCAATCCCAGGCACAGCTACAGGCTGGGCAGAGAAGAGATTCAGAGCAGCCCTGCAGAGAAGGACTTGGGGGTGCTGGTCAATGAGAAAATGAACATGAGCCGGCTTCAGTGTGCACTTGCAGCCCAGAAAGCCAACCGTATCCTGGGCTGCATCAAAAGGAGCGTGACCAGAAGGTCGAAGGAGGTGATCCTGCCCCTCTACTCTGCTCTTGTGAGACCTCACCTGGAGTATTGTGTGCAGTTCTGGTGTCCTCAACATAAAAAGGACATGGAACTGTTGGAATAAGTCCAGAGGAGGGCCACGAGGATGACCAGGGGACTGGAGCACCTCCCGTATGGAAACAGGCTGAGAAAGTTGGGACCGTTCAGCCTGGAGAAGGCTGTGTGGAGACCTCATAGCAGCCTTCCAGTATCTGAAGGGGGCTATAAAGATGCTGGGGAGGGACTCTTCATTAGGGACTGTAGTGACAGGACAAGGGGTAATGGGTTAAAACTTAAACAGGGGAAGTTTAGACTGGATATAAGGAAGAAGTTTGTTACTGTAAGAGTGGTGAGGCACTGGAATGAGTTGCCCAGGGAAGTTGTGAATGCTCCCTTCGTGGCGGTGTTCAAGGCCAGGTTGGACAGAGCCTTGGGTGACATGGTTTAGTGTGAGCTGTCCCTGCAGCGGGGAGGCAGCAGGGTTGGAACTAGATGATCTTAAGGTCCTTTCCAACCCTAATTATTCTATGATTCTAACAATATTGGTAGCAAAGCAACACAAAGTCACAAACATACACAAATGTTCGTTCACTGCCCCTGAGCAAGTTATACACTTCTCTGCATGTTGCCCATGTCCCATTCCCATCAAGTGATAACAGGGAGACACAGCAGTAAGAGAGGCCTAAAACCAATGTGCCTGAAGAAGCGTGGCCCAGGACAAGAACCCAGTACTCTACTGTGGTTTGTTTAGGGGTTTTTAGAAGATATTTAACATCCAGCCTGCCTGATTCGATGATTTACTGTTCAGGGCTAACTTTCAACCTGAAGGTTACCATCACTCAGCAAGCAGCAGCAGTGTCTTGAGCAGACACCACCCCAGCAGAACCTAGATGAACCAGCAGGCAGGACTCTCCTCAGGGCAGCGCTGCCTAGCTGAGAGGGCAGGAGCAAAAGGCAGGCAGGTGTATCAAACAAAAGAACAGTGAGAATGCCCACTCCTCTGTGCAGCTGGTTGCAATTCTTGATGGAGCAGAACATCAGAGCTTGGCATTCAATAAAGATAACTGTGGTAACTCATGACAGTTTTCTGCCTTGAGGAGATGAAACTGAGTGATGTGGCAAGGAAAGAAAGACCACACAGTTTTAGAGGAGTGTGCACAGGGAATAATTTGCCATACTGCCACACTCCAATTACAACCCCACTGTATTATAACCTTTGCTAACACTCCCTAAAAGACAGTCTTTAACTGCAGATTCAGGAAGAAAGAATGTCTCTATTTCTTTCCCCTGCCCAACAACACCAGTAAACAAAATAGCAACTTTTCATTCACTCTGATTATAGACCTCAAGACCATTGACTAAAGGAATTAATAGGTTCTTTCTATGAAGTACGCCCTGCCTTTGCTCATTGACATTTCTGACTTTTTTGACGCTCTAAAAGGAAAGCCTGGGCTTACAAAGTAAAGACTATGTACTGAACTGAGGTCCCATTGACATGTCAGTTCAACCCCCAGAACTTTGTTCAGCACCAAAAGTGCATCAGAAATTTGGTTTCCGTAACTGTTATACTAACCCACTCCTTTTAGGACAATGGGGATACCACACAGGCATAGAGCACAGGCTGAAAACCTCATTGTTTGGATTTCTTCTGCACACTGTTGAGTAACTCCACCTGAACAATTAAAAAAACAGTCTGACCGCAAAATGCTCAGTTACTTATTTACTCCTAAATCAGCAGAGTGCTCAGGCCAAGTTAAATGCCTTCCACTCTAAAGATTCATTTAAAACACATAAAAAACAGCCCTCTAGCCTGGCTGATAAGAGCAAAGAGGAAAGCTTAAATTCACTCAGAGAAAGATAAGCATGTTTTTCCAAAAGACATAAACAAGAGACTCCTTAAATTCCCAGCAGTGTTCCAAAACCTTCAGTTCCTCACATACCATTTCTGAGCATCCACCTCTTTCTTGCCTCAGCAGTATCTAAACATAGAAACCCAGGAATGTGGGGAAAGGAGACCTTAAACCCACTGCACATAAAGTTGTCTGTGAGGAAGAACCTGCATTAGAAAATACCTGAAATGCAAACCATTCAAATTTGAACAGCAGCCACCCACAGGCTGAATCGAAGATGGTCCAGGGTGGTGCAAGTCATGTGTAGGTGAACACATTCTGTGCCAACGCAAGGGGCACAGGTCCAGCCTAACAGCTAATGCCAGGTTCTGCTTCCCTCTTCTTCATGGCAGCATTGCACAGCCAAACTCACTTCACTGATGCCATATTGCATCAGTATTGGCCTGTCTGCTTCATTCAGGAGGGATGAGTGGGTGTTCCAGTGCAAGGGTCAAGAAGCTATTTCCTCAATCCTGTCCAAGCTGTGGAAAGACGTATCTCCTCTGAGCGCCAGCTAGCTATAAGAGGAGACCATCGCAGCTTGAGCAAGCGTGGATCACTGACCTTCCTCACCCACCTTGATACAACAGTGCTCAGGGAGTTTACCCCGCCCTAGCCTGATGGAAGGTTTTGTTTCTTTGCAAAGCAACTTCTTGTGAAAGCCCTGTACCTACTTTTAAGGGTCAGGAAAGTCCTAAAGTCCTTTTCCTCCAGGGCTCAGTGTCAAGTACTCCTTGCAAGTAGACCGTTAATCTTCTTAGTCTCATTTAGTTGTTAGCAGGAGGAGGACATTGCAGCTTCAAGTCCAGACGCAGCTGCAAATCTGAGGTCTGCAGGACACTCTGCCTAAAGTGCGTTTCTCAGCACCGTGCATTCGCCTCCAGCCCACCCAATGGTCCATCTGAATTGTACCCCTGAACTGGAGATTCACAGGCATGGGAGTAGAGGGCAATGGAAAAGACCCTGAGCTCAAACACCTCTCAAAGCCATAATCATACACAGCCCCCATGCTGCCCCCAAGTTTTGTAGATCCCGCTTAGATCTCCCATGTAGATCTGCCACCATCAGCCCACAGCCTAAGCCCACAGCCTAACCCCAGCTGCATCCCTCCATGTACCAGTTGCATTTCCCAGAGGGAAATTCATGCCTCTTGTCACTGCTGCTGCCCTCCAGGCCCTACATATCTCTTCCCCCTCCTTGGTTCACCCCCTTACCACCCCAGTCTCTGGCCAAGCAGATAAGAGCCCATGCCTGTGCCGGCCAGCCACCCATTACCTGGTTCCCAAAGACAGCGATGGAGCAGGCAGTGGAGACCTCGCGGGAGCCGAACCAGACGGAGGCGATGCGCGAGGGCATGCCCAGGATGAAGACCTGGGACAGGGAGCAGATGACCTGCCCCAGGACGGTGATGCTGAAGAGGTGCGGCTTCAGGCTGCCCAGCTTCACCCAGGCACCCAGGGCATTGAGGGCCGAGCCTGCCAGAGAGATGAGGCGCAGGCCCTTCTTGTCCAGCAGCCAGGCGACAGGGAAGAGCAGGGGGATGTAGGTGAGCATGTAGGTCATGGACAGCCAGTCGATGGCGAAGGCACTCACGCCATAGAAGCGCGCAAAGATGTTGTTGATGCTGCCATACTGGATCCACTGGAAAGCATTGCACAGGGAGTAGCTGCTGAACAGCAGCAACACGACCCAGCGACGCCGGGACAGCCTCACCCCGGCGGTGGCAGCAGCGGCCTGCCCCCCCGCCGCCAGCGCCGACGCCCCAGCAGGCTCCCGCTTCACCATGCCGGCAGCACAAGCCGCTGATCGGCCCGGCTCGGCTCGGCTCGGCACCTCGCCGGTCCCCACCTGGCCGGGAAGCCCCGCCCGGCAGCCCCGCCGGGTTCACTGGTGCCGCGCCGCGGGGCGGTGCCACCGGCCCGACCCGGCCCGGCCCGGCCCGGCCCCCTGCCCGCCCCGCCCTGCCGCGCCGCCTGGCTGCCCGAGGGGGCACGGCCGCGCCGGGGTCGCTGTGCAGCGGTAGCGCGGCGCGGGCGCAGCGGCGGGATCGCAGCCCATCCCCGCGGCAGCCAGCACCCCGCCATTAAAGAGAGGCCCCGGCGTAAGAACGCCTGGTGCGGGAGAGACTTCAGGGTGTAAACTGTGGGTGATGAACAGGGCGTGGACTGACCCGGAACAGTGTCGGGGGGGTTGTGTGCATGTGGGCAGCGTCTGACCCAGCCAGAGACGCCAGTGTGGGCACCTGGACGATGCCGGTTTCATTTGAGTTGGCTTCCAATGGGTTTTTTCATGAGATGGCACACTATGAAGTGGAAACATCCAGTGAAGTCAAAATCAAAACACTTCAGTGGGACTGAAGCACAAGCGCCAAAAGTGATGTTTTCCTCCTCCTGGGAAACCTGCAGTTAACGAGTCAGTTGTTTTCCCATAACTTCAGCAACACACAAGTCTGACAGGTATCTGCCTGGAGATCACTTATGATCGCCAGTTCATTTAATTGGCAATCTGTTATCTGAACTGTACAAACATTACTCAGCGCCAGCTTAAAACGTGGACTTGGTTGCATGCTGGTGTTGTTCAGCTCTCTTCCAGCATTAAACACAGCTCAAAGTTCACTTGGGAAAATGGCAGCGATGAGCTGTCTTCAGGATATTGCATTCCCGAAACAAAGACACCTGGATTAGGAAATGAAAAAGTGAAGTTTCTCTGGCTTGTATTTACTTTGTGGAATGCTGTTGGAGGTTACTGATGGTGATGCTTCTCTCAGTTATTCACCTGACTACTGCCAGGAGCAAAGGCAGACAATCAGCTTTGGCGCCTTTACGTTCTTATTTCCCATGCAAGGAGAAAAAAAAATATGCTTTGGACAGATTATTCCAAAGAGAGCAAATGCCACCTTAAGTGCTTCTTGCTGTGTATCCTTACAGGTCACTGCTTGTCACTCACTTGGGTGTCCTACTCCCAACAGAATGGCCAAGGAGCACAGCTGGAGACAAGGAAAGCCATCACAGCCTTCCCTATGCGCTCTGCTGAAAGTATCACAGGGCAGAGCTGCAAACCTTCCTGCTCTACCCCTCAGCAGCCCGCAGCTTTGCCAGTCAATATCCAGCCTCGCTGGATAGGATGGTACAATGTAACCATAGTGTAGTCCTTTTATATAATGAACAAGAACGGCAAATTCAGAAGCAAGAGCCAGAAAAGAGGTTTTCAGGCCCATTTATTATTAGCTTAGGCACCCAAAGTTACTCCGAGCACTGTGCTGAGACAATAGAAAGAACAGAAGAATTTGTTCTAATGCATTTGTAATTTAAATGTGTCAGAAATGCAGTAAGTTACAGCAGTGCAGAAAGTGCAGAGGTGAAATGGAGCAGAAAAAGGACTGTCATGGTCCAACAGATGCATAGTCAGAGAACTTGAGCATGTAACAGTAAAATAGTACAGAAAATTAACTTTTAAGTTCATCAGGTTTGAAAAGGTCTTTATAAATTCTCCACAAGATTATGAGGTAATCACTATAATTAATGAAGAGTATGTGAAAAGCAAGGATCAAGGAAAGAAATAAACAGGCAATTTTTAGCATGGCAAACTGGGACTGCTCAGAGTACCATCAGCCATTCATAATTGCAAAAGCAAACCAAGGAGCAAAATTTGCAGATGGTAAGACATTATTTAAGTTACTCAAGACTAACTGAAATATGTCACCTAGATGTTATATTTAGGTCTGTATGGCTTTAGTCAGAGTTCTCGTGCCAAATAAAATGCTTTACACTCTAAAGATTCATTTACAGACTTTAGGACTGTATCTTCAGCCATCTGTAACTGAAAGTGCTGCCACAGTCCATGGCACCTTTAGTTTGTAAACTTGGATAAATGCAGAATAATGAAGTTAGTTACTGTATGGCAGTCTGCTGTAGTCAAAGGTCTCTGGGCAGCAGAGAGGAAGATACCAGTGACTAACAGGGGCTGAGTGTGGTTCTCAGGCTTAAGTTACAGAAAAGGAAAGGTGGAAAGAGTATAAATAATAAGGATTTGTGGAGACATTATCATGCATTAAGAAAACACTGAGAACAGTTAAATATCTGTACATGTGACTAAAAAAAAAAAAGCACACACCTAGAAAAATCTTTCGATATACATGGGAGAATAAGAAACACAAATTGGATTCTTGGCCTCCTGCCAGCCCTGCTCCAAACTGGAGTCAGAAACTGTCGTCTTGAGTTCTATTTCAGTTGCATCTTCAGCTCCTAAATGGCTCTCAAAAATCCTCAGTTTTAGCCATTATCAACAAAAGATCCATAGCAAGTCAGAGCCTGCCAAGCAAGCAGCTATTTGCTCACACTAAACCAGTGTCTTAGTCAAATCAGAAAAGCCAAACGGTAAATCAAGAATGACTAAAACACAGACCCTGCTGAAAAGTACAGCTAAAAGCAGACAGATGAAAGTAGCGCCCAGCCTCTGGTGACTGCAGCCAGAACATTAACCAGGCAGGGAAGCAACTTTGACTCCCCCAAAGCTGATCTAGTCAAGCATTTTTCATACCTACAGGCCCACACTTCCCAGAATCCTTGTCCTCAGATCTCAGGGCTGTTTTGTTTTGTTTCTGCCTCTGTGAACTGTTCAATCACCCCTTTATATCATTCGCCAATTTCTGGACCAAAATAAAACCCCTGCGCTCTGCATTTCTTCCTCTCTCCATTGCCGCATCTGTTTCTACTCAGATGAACGTTTTCCCTCTTGAAGCAACACAGCAGCTGCTTTTGGATTTCCCTCATCAGAGAATCTTTATATAAAAAATTCTTAGGCATGAAAAATTATTTATATTTCAGGACAACCCCTTGAAGTGGATTTAAAAGCTAGAGGGAAACCTCTTTTACATGGAGACTGACACAAGTGCTAAGGTTATAGGATCCTGTGGTCGAAAGTATCTGGGAAGGTTGGAAGGCACTAAACCAGGGGCAGAAACAGGGTCCAAATTAAAGGTAATGGTACAGGCCATCAGATAGAGAGTAACATCTCTGGTTTCCCTACTGATCTCAAGAAATACAACTTCTGAATATACTTGGCCTTTATGACAGATTCCCTTATGTTCTGTAAGGACTGAAGAACATGCCTCGAAACAAGTTCGGTTTTCTCAAAGCCCACCCAGTAAATGTAAATGCTAGGGAGGATGCTGGCAATGATAATCCACCCTTCTGATTTCTAGTGGATGGCAACAGGCCTTGATGACAAGCAAAGCAATAATGAATGGGTGGTGAAAATCAGCTTGGTAGGTGTACAGAAGGCATATGAGAATTTTTTTGTGAAAAGAATAATTTCTTGGTGCATTTTTTCTCCCACCCTGGATCAGAGGTTCAAGGAGCAAAGTACTCAAGGGTCTACTGGATCTTCCAGCCATGCAGTTCCTTGCAGAGACTTCAGAGCATGCTTAGGCTCCCTTTAAATGGGAAATATTTAAGCTCAAAGGGTCGATCACAGGATGTCCCTTGCTGTCAAACTCACATCATTGTGATTTGTGCCTTTATATCTCATCTTCTCACTCAGAAGACCTAGCAAGTGCAGTTCTTAGGTGGCTCTAGCACATTTTAACTGGTAGTATTAAGGTCTAGAAGAGATGTCAGAAGATCTCCCAGTCTATCCCACACAGCCTTTCACAACAGACATTGCAGGGAAGATCACAAGATCTTTGTTGGTGGAGGGAGAATGTTTTATAATGGCTTCAACACACAAACTGCTTTAGTGGAGGATTTCAGAAGTCACGTAGTTTTATCATTAGACCAAATGGCAAGACTCGAATAGCTGGCAGAACCACTCACTCCTCCTCACGCCCGAACGCAATACACACCTGGGGACACGGCGCTGAGCGACTGGCAAGGGCTGCCCCTTTGGATAAAGGCAGTGTTGCTACCTGGAGCAGGAAGGCTGCGAGCCCTCTGCTGGCACCTATAGCTGTCTACATCCCAGGAGCCACGAGAAAGCAAGATCCAGCGTACAGCTTGTTTATGCAGTGAATTAGGTTATGACAGTAGGTTGGATACACAATGGATATCCTAAACCCTTATGAATCTTTCCTGTTACATTTCCTGTGTAAAAATTCGTACAGTGATGGACAACTACCTTTACAGCATACAGCCTCTGCAGCATTCCACATCTTGCAAAATTTACCTTCCTCTCCAGAAAACATGATGGCTTAGTTTCACAATCTAAAACCCCATATAAAGAATCCTGCAGACCTCCAAATCACCAAAACTGTGCAGGGAATAACTTTGAGCACCAAACCTATCATCTTCAAAGTATAAGGCCTTTTTACAAAATCATAAATCAAGGAAGGGAAACAACAGCACATCTCATATGTAGCTCTCAGAGAACTTCACTGGGGATGCATCACCTACATCTATTTTACAGGGGAAACAAGGACTCAAAGAGTTAAGGAGATTTGCCTGTGCCCCTGCCAGGGGCAGAACTGTTGCTCCTGACTGCCAACCCTGGCTGCCAATAGCATCTTGAACTGCCACCTCTTTACAGATCTAATCTTCCTGTTCACAGCCTGGCTTTAACACAGCAGTGACTTTAATTTAACCCTGTCCAGTTCAGATGCAGTATTTCTATGGATGAATTATGTAGGTCTGAACTGCAAAGAGTACATGGGAAGGCATAGCTGAAATGCTAATATTCGCAGCTGCCTTCTTCCAGCAAGAAAAGGATGTGAAAAGGAGTGTGTAGCATGGAAGACCACTTGCACCTGTCCTACTTCAGATATGCTGGTTGTTGGTTAGAGGCACAGGGTGGTTACACTACCT